CATGGAATGTGCACCTCTTCTATAGGTCCGGAATAGATGGTCTGGGATGGTTCAACCGGTTTTTTGCCGAATGCGAGAGATCCAAGATGATCCAAGAGCTCGAGTCGTCGGTATTTTTTCCACAGATTCTTGCGATCTATTGTGGGAGGGAAACCAAACATCAAGAAGCTTATACCTTGTTGAAGGAGGTATACCACCGGCTTTCACTAAGAATTGATCGGTTCATCAATGTACTGATCATAGACTTTAGCCTTCAGCCAGTCATGGACTTCAGTCACCTGGGCCACTTCCAGTCACCGACTTCTCTGGACCCACACCGGACCAATCGGATTTGCAGGAAATCGCCCGACATACTGTAGCAAGTGTGAGATAGATCCAATGGATCAAAGGCATCCTAAAAGAGATGCTCGGAAGGTCCCGCTACAGTAAAAGTGGAAGTCGAGTGGAAGAGGTTTCAGGATGTGTCATCGTTGTAATTTCTTTTCTTTTCTACATGACGAAGGCTACCCGGCATAGACCGGCTCTGGCACGAAGGTCAGAGCCAGGTCTTTTTACATGAGTCGCGCTCATGTCGAACAGCCAACCGCACAGCCTCCGCACAGCCAACCCGATGTTCGGCACACCGTCGATGTTCAGATCCGAAGTGATTCTCGCCGTAGGCAGGACCAATCCCATCCTCCTAGTACGGTGGAAAAGGGGCTCGGTGCAGTTCCCGAGGAGTCCGTGGCACCTTTTGATGGTTCTTTTACTATTGCCGGGTCGTGGTGAAGCAACAAGTGTTTTGTTTTTTGTTTTTCTTCTTGAGAATATTGAATAGATGCAAAAGAACCGTTCACGAGTGTCCTACGACTTGCAACCGCCCGCCCCTGGAGCTTTGGGCGACATTTAGAACCCATAAACCGACCATTCTTTGATCTTCTTTAGCAAACTACCCAAATTCCATATGTCATCAAACTAATGCACAACACGCCTTCCGATCCCGCTGAATGTGGGCAGTCGCTGCGTGAGACACATCTTGCGATCCAGGTCTTCTCGCGTTGTGGCCAGCGGCGCAAGAAGAAGTGCCTCGGGCGAACTTCTGTGGAGCGCGGACGGAACACAATCCACCCCGGAACACTTTCAGTGTTGGGCACTCAAGAAGCAACTTTCTCTTTCGTCCAGACGACTTGGGAAAAACGAAAACAGGTGCCAGGGTGGTTTTCGGTTGGGATATCTCGAGGAGATTGTGTGCCAGGATCATCCTGTCTGGGTGTCCTGGCTAGACTACCCTACCCTACTTACAGGTCTCCAGACAGGGCACCCCTTGGAAGTGCTACGTGTTTCTTTCTTCCCCAAACAGTGTGGACACAACGCGTCTAGATCTCTACACTTTCTGCCTATAGACCTCACACACACACACACACACTGTTTGGGGTCTCTTCCCGGGTCACATCAGTTCACTGGGCCTCGTTGATCTTCACATCAGTTCACCCCGTTCGGACCGATCGTTGACCGGACTGGCTGGTCGGGGGAGGGCGAGGTCGTGGCGGAGTGAAGGGCATCGGTGTCCATCCTTTCACCAGAAACCTTTCACAGAATTACCAGTCAGACCATGCCCACAGATGAAATGGAAAAAACATGTTCCTGATGGCCTCAGGCAGTTTCTATGTCGTTTACTGGAAGGTATACTTTGACCTTCCTAACCCACCCTGCACATCACACCTTGCTTTGATAAAGAACCGTGGATCCGTACTGCAAGGTTGTGCCAAGTGAGATACGGCTTCAACAAGGGCATATGCAGGCTTATGCTGGTGCTGTTTGGAGGTTCCCAAAGAGAAATAACAAGGAACATGATGTCCAAAGCAGGTACTGGATACTGTTGCCAGTTTTGGAAGGTACCAACCGAAACTCCAGTCCAAGCTGTTTAGACCAGCCACACCTGGCAGAACTGTGGGGAGAACGATAAAGCTCACCCGATTGGCCGAGAGCTGGACCCGAATCTTCGACACCTACGGGTAGACCGGCCCCCGACTCCTTGGTGTTTCTGGGGTCGGACCAGCGGGGGGGTTTCTCACCAATCCCGATTGGTTCGACCCGGGAGCGGGGGCGAACGAACACGGGCGGTTTTTCGGGGGCAGATCGCTCCCACTTCAGCTCGAACGAAAAGCTCTCTCAGGAAGCCTCCGGAGACTGCTGAGGCCAAAGCGGCAGCAGACTCAGCTGATCTCCCCAAAACCCCAGGGCCCCAGGGAAAATGCTGCAAAGCCATGTCAGTAGGTGGGATACATGGCAGTGGGTCAAAACCAGGTCAGGATATCTCGGTTGACCTACCGACGAAACTTGCGCAACGATCCAAAGCGCTTCCCAAAGGCCCTTGATCAATTGATGGGTACCTGGGAGTATGTGAAATTGCCCACGTGCATAGGTGTTGTACCCACACACCAAATATACAAATTGGCACCTGCACCAAGTTGCCGCACCATCAAAAGACCCTAACTACGTGAAACCGAATTTCCGCGCGGTACAAGATGGCTTTGAAGACGAACTGCGACAACAAATTAAAGCATCTAATTACGTGGAACGGGCGGAACAAGGTCGTCCAGATTGCCACCCCGATTCCACACTTCACGAAGCTTCTTCCTAAAGTGATAGCATTGGGAATAATCTAAGTTTTCCATAGGGGGCACAGTAATGCGAACATGGCACAAGTCCATCGGAACGAGACCAAGCGGATGAAACGGTGGTTTAATTCCCAAATTTGTGGCATATTTTTGCAACGTCTTCTGAGTATCATCTGAGTATTAATGAACTGTGGTCTGAGAGGGAAGCCGCCAGTATATGTACGTCCCCATCCGACCTGGACCAAACTACTTGAAGCTGTTTTATGGAACTTCGGGTACAGTTTTGTACTGCAAAAACCTTGCAAGTATTGAATGATGATGCGAATTGCATCAGCTTGTTCACGAAGATTTGGTGACGTCGTCATATTCTCCTTCAGGATGTGGCCACTTTAGGGATAAGAAAAACCTGAGGACTAGATGGGCATAGTCCTGCCCCCATAGACATGCTCGGAAGACATGTGGATGAATATCAGGTTCCGGCTCGGTTGACCTACCGACGAGACTTGCGCATCAGATCCGGCGCTTCCCATGGTCCTTCACCATAGGGTGGGTACCAGGGAGTTTGCGTAAGTATCCTTTGTACATGCAAACACTATAATACAAAAATGGAAAAGACCGTTGCCAAACGTGAGACCGAAGGTCCGCACCGTTTACGAAGGTGCCAAGATGCCAAGATGTCAAGTTGAATTGAAGATCTAATTAGGTGCTGGTGGAATCGGGTTTGCATTAAGATCGCTTTCTTTTGAACAGGCTTTTCGCAGATTGCGCCTATAGAGGAATGGAGGGCACTGTCATGAGCGTCGACACAAAATTCATTGGAACCATTCGGATGAAAGGGTGGTTTTGCGGTTTGCACTGTAGATTAGACACGTACTGATGAAGTGTTTTTTTGAACTGCCAAGTTAGGAAGTTGTGGACGCAAAGCGAAGCTGCCAGTGTAAGTACGACCCCACCCCGTTTTAGTCAGACTGGAGGATCCGGAAAAAGTAGGAACTACAGGGTCATCAGAAAAGCCTTGGAGATATTGGGCTATAATACGAAGTGCGTCTGATTGTTCTCGCAAGGACCTTTGAACTGCAGGAAGGGCTAGCACTTTGGGATCCTGCCAATGATGTGGGCGGGCTCTTTGTCGGTTGACCTACCTAGAAGGTCAAGTGGTGTTGGGGCTCCAGGTTTTGACACATTCCCTAGCAACCTGGGGTGCAGCCGTTGAGTTGCAGCCAGAAGCATGCATGTTTTGTGGAGCCCATGGGTAGGCACCTTTCTCATATACCCACTCAGTGTACAACCTTTAAACCTTTTTTTGGGGGGGTTGGTTTCCCCACTCAATATGAACATACAGGTCCAACCTATAAGCCTTATACCCTAGGGCCCTAGGGCTCCAAGTACCTTCCGAGAAGGTGGGACTGGGGTGGGTTTGGAGGGTCCAAACACCTTCTGAGGAGGTACTTGGAGCCCTAGGGCTACTGTAGTTATAATTGGGGGTTGGTTGGGGGGTGGTTTCCCCACTTAATATGAACCTGAACAGGTGGTCTTAAGTCTAACTTCCAGGGCTTTTTTCAGCTCGGGAGTTCAGGATCGATGGGGTCGAGACTTTCCCAACAAGTCCAACTGGACCCGTGTCCCTCCCGTGCGATGGGCACACGGCCGGCACCCAAAGACTCCGGACGAGAGCTGTCCGACATGGGTCGTTGGTCATGGGGAGGCAGTTGGGCAAAGGCATCTAACTTCTAACTGTCCAACTTACCATGTTCATGTTCATGTCTAACTGGGTCATGTTCATGGGTCATGTCCCATGGTCTGTGCGTGGTGTTATTCCTTTTCTTTCAGCCAGTTGGAGCACCGGTTCGCGGACGCCCGGATTTGGCCACCCTTCGAACTCCCGTTCGCGGCCGCGCCGCACGTCGCCCGTCGACCGCCTCGCCAAGGTCGAGGCGGAAGGAGCTGCCGAGAGGACGGGCTCAGCAGAGATGGCCTCCACCCTACTAGTGATGGCCTCCACCCTACTCACCGTACCAGGCCTCCATTTGCGAAAGGATCTATGAAAGACTCAGACGTACTTGACATGGCACATTGAAGGTCTTTGCAGGTTCGCTGATTATTGGAGAGCTTACTCTAGAGACAAAACAACATCGTTTTGAGCTTATACCCTACCACTTGAGGAAGACATCTCTCAGAAGGCTTGCTGTGTTGAACGCTTGAAATTGCTTGCATCATGTGCTTTGCGTAAGGGCTCAGGGCTCAGGGCTCGTGCTCTGCTGCTCGTGCTCGGCGGAGTTCAGTGTTAGGTCGGATGTTTGAAGAGCGAAAGAACAACAAATAGACCCGACTGAAACCAAACTGGCCCTGCCTTATTGCAGTCAAAGAGACATGAATTCTCATATTTTGTGCAGGAAACATGCAGAAACTATTTTTCATTTGCTCTTTTCAATCGAATGTCCTCTCGATGTTCTTGTCTTGCCTTGTGCAAAGTACTCTGATCGGAGTCGCACATGCCACGATCAGAAAAGAGTGACAGCGAGTACAGTGGATACACCGAGTACTCTGACGACGAGACCGTCCGGTGGAAGGACTGGACGTGGGATGATTGGGACAAGTCAAGCAACACGTGGGATGATTGGAAGAAGTCAAGCCACACCTGGGACTCCTGGGACAAGTCATACGATAAGTGGGCTTCTTGGGACAAGTCAAGCAACACATGGGACAGTTGGGTACAGCCAGGTGACACAGCTGACGCTGACCCTTTGGACATCGAGGACTCTTGGGAGTCGAACCCTTGGGAGTTGAAGCCGGCTGAATCACCAGCTGAGTTAGCTGTCAAGGAAGCCGACACTGACCTGCAGCTGAAGTCGTCAGACAAGACGGGGGCCACGTCAAGTGTACCCACGGTCGGTGGTAGAAAGTCAGGCACCAAGAGAACTGACCCTACGTCACATGACATTTCTTTGAAGCCGGCGACTCGGGTCAAGTGCGAGACCAAGTCCACTTGCAGAAAGGCAGCTGAGTCCAAGTCCAATGACATTGGCACGGAGCCCACCGCCCCTTCCTCTCAGGGCCAACTAGGTGAGTCCCCTGGTTTTGCTGTTCAGGTGATTTGTTTATTTTCCCGAACTGGTTCAATCCCCCACCCAGTGGGTAATATGCTTTAAGCAGGTTCCTATCTAGATGTGTTTTTCCCCGGCTTCCCAAACCAGCACCTCCAAGGGAGTCCACGTCGCAGTCCACAACCAGAAGCCGCAGTCCGAGAAGACGAGAGGAGCACTCCGAGGAGCTCGTCCGAGCACTGACGCGTTCGTCCGAGGACGGTGTCATTGGATCGAACGCAGTCCGAGAACTGTTCGACTTGCGAGTGCAGGTGGTGAAACTGAGGAATGAGCCTTGGGACACGTTAAGAGAAGATCTTTTGTTTGTTTGTGTGAGATTTTTGGATCATTTTGGTGCGGAAAGAAGTTGGCACTGTTTCTTCTCTTTTGTTTGACAAGCTTTTGGTCCCTTTTTTCGAGACGCAAGAGCAGGATCGCCTCATCGCTGTGAGAGAGCAAGCAAGGCAGGCTCGGGGGGAGCCACAGCTGGTTTTTCTGGAGAAGCAGCTCGACCAAAAGACACAGGAACTGGCCCTTGCGCACTGCAAAGCACAAGGCTGGCAGAAGGTATCGGAGAAGTTGAAGGCCGAAACGCAAGAGAGCTTGACTGCTCTTTTGCAAGAGAAGGAGGACATGAAGACCAAATTGCAGGAGCAGGAGAAGTTGAAGGCCGAAGTGCAAGAGCGCTTGACTGCTATTTTGCAAGAGAAGGAGGACATGAATATCAAATTGCAGGAGCAGTTGACAGCGACCTTGAAGGAGAAGGAGAAGTTAGGGGCCACCTTACAAGAGACTTTGGAGGTGCAGGTGGAGTTAGCGTCCGAGATACAAGTTTTGGTTTCCTCTGATTTGAAGAAGGAGAAGGTTGTGGCCGACTTAGAAGCACGTTTGACAACAACTTTGAAGGAGAAGGATGATGCCACGGCCAACTTGCAGGCGCGGTTGACGGCGACCTTGAAAGAGATGGAGAGGGCGACATCCGAGCTGCAAGAGCAGTTAACAACGACCTTGAAGGAGAAGGAGAATCTGAAGGCGGAGCTGCAAGAACGGTTGACTGCTACCTTGAAAGAGAACGAGGAGGAGAAGGCCGAGATACAGCAGCAGTTGAACAGAACCTTGAAACAGAAGGACGCCGTGGAGGCCATCTTGCACGAGGAGTTGGAAATCAGGAAGACGCGGATTACCTATGATTTGGAGAGAGAGAAGTTAGTGTCCGATTTACAAACACGGTTGGCAGCCGCTTTAAAGGAGCAGGAGGAGTTAGCGTCCGAGGTACAAGCCAGTTCGAAGAAGGAGAAGTCAGTGTCCCAGTTGCAAGCACAGCTGACTGCCGCCTTGAAGGAGAAGGAGGAGTTGAAGGCACAGTTGCAAGAGTGCGTTCCATCACATGTGGGTGGCTGTGGTGTAACGTGTCAATATGAAGAGCACGGTGCTTGGTTGTCCCTTCCTCCTGAAGGAAACCATCAGATGCTCCAGGCGTACACGGCCTATCTTGGAGACTCCACAGCCCGCTTCGCAACCATCCAGTCAGCTGGCATTGCTCGCAAGGTTGACTTTGAGAGAATGGAGCAACGTCGTTCGGACACCGGCATGGTGCGTCAGATTCGCATCTTGCCGCTGGTGCCCCCGCAGTGGATTACCACTGCAGCCTCGCTGCTGCAGCAAAGTGAGCATGTTGAGTCATTCAAAGTTGCAGTTGACGATGAGAACATCCTTCTGAAGATGCAAGAAATCCTTCGGTCGACCGCACATGCGCAAGCGTGCAATTGCATTCGGAACGCCAAGGCGGATTTTTTTCGGAATGAAGCTCTCCATGTCTATATATTTTTAACACACCGTTTTCCCCAAATACAGCGCGTCCCTTGAGCGCGTTTTTCGTGCCAGGTGATCTCAATGCACCGCATAGAGCACGGGCGACTATGGCATGGTTACAAGACACGGCTTGCAGCCCTTCGGCAGGAACACAAGAGCTTCAATGTGTCGGTGGCGCCTGTGACGCTCAATTCCCATGGCGGCAGACACTTGAAGGTGATGAATTGAAAGTTTCTTTGTCTCTCTTTGTGGCTTTGGTCCTTGCCCCTAAAGTCACGTTTGCTGTGCGAAGCAAAAGGGGTAACTTGAACAGCCTGTTCGGGACCAAATAGTGAAGTATCATGAAGTATATCATAGCCCCCCCCCTCCCCAGCACCACCAGGACCGCTGTAGCGTGACTCATGCTCAGCGCTTACGCAATGGATGCACTTCTACGGTGTTACACAGTACGTGCAGCTTTGGGACAAAGCAGTTCTTACTCACCACAGCTCTTCACCAGATCACACCAGTGTTTACACCCGATGGCTTTCACGCAAACCAGCGTTCACACACCATAGCTTTACACAAACCAGCTTTGATGCAACGCAAAGCGGCGTTCACAAGACTCCACGCGTGTCAGACTCTCGGCTGCCATGCTGTACCAGCCTCTCCTTGCGACTCCGGCCACTCTGATTTGGTGCACACCTTTGTACAGCACACTTCTGGCACTAGGCAGTTCACAACTGCTGTTACACTGCCCTGCGGCCCTGCGTTGAGACACCATGGTTTTTTACATATTTCTGCACAAAGCAGCAAGTTAACACTCCGTAGCTTCTACGCAAAGCAGACGCAGCACAAGGGCCCTTCTTGCACACCCCACCGTATACACACCAGAGCTTCTACACAAAGCAGCGTTTACACCGCAACATTTTCACGAAGCCCCCTCCACGACAACCACTATTGAGACATCACACCGACCATGCCACATGCCCTTCCAACTTTTCCCCTTTCTCGAGTTGGTTCTGTATATTCCTCAATGTATCTTAATGTATTCCTGTTTTGAATTTTAGTTCAGTTCTGCCAGGAAATCTCATGGTGAATGAGCAAGACATGTTCAATTGTGGGGAGGCCCTTGCCACCGACGTGGATGAGAAGGTCTTGTTTCATGGCACCACAGGGCACAAGGCAGATGCCATCCTCGCCACAGGTTTCGACCCTCGCATATGCAATCGTGGAATGTATGGCAAGGGGGTCTACTTTGGATCAGAAGCTTGCAAGAGCCACCAATACACTTGCAGGCAGGGCAGAAAGTTTGAGTCATGTCAAGTGCCTTTCCGAGTTTTTCTTCGGTCCTGGCTCTTCACATTGAAAACACAAGGGTTCTTGCTTCAGCTTTTTGAGCACCTTCTTCTTCTTCTTCTTCTCGCGGTTGCATCCCAGGCCTCCTTTGTATCCTTTCGGCCGTTGTGGACAAATTAACATCACGGCCATCAGACAGACTCACAGGATCACATATGGAATTGGAGGGTAAGATTCCTGGTCGATATTCAGAATTAAAAACAAGGGGGGCCCTTTTGAAGCACGGAATGGGCCCGTTTCGCTGCATTTGTTTGGCGTTTTTCTGTTTACCATTGTGGGGGCTATCCTAGTTAGAGTTTTGCAGCGCAACAACGATGTGCGCACAAACCCTTTCGTGAGAGATGGTTTCAAAACACGAGGCTGAGACGCCATATTGTTGTAGGTTCTTTTCCTGCGAACTTGCGTGGCAAGTGCACTTACAGGATGAAGGTCTCGGCTGGATTCCGTGTTTGTGTCTCCCTGCAGTCAAAATTAGATGCCTCTTTGTGCAGGCACCACTCCAAGTCCTGCACATGCAAGGGGGCCAGGACGCTCATCATTGCTCGCGTGGTGCTTGGTGATGCCTGCGTTGTGACTGAAACCAGGCCAGGCATGGATGCAATCCCTGACGTGTTTGCTGTCCTGAAAAGGTCCCCTCAAACTTGTTCTGCTTTTGAGGCTAACTTATATAGATACTAGAGACTGGGCTAACGCCCAGGTGCCGCTGACCTCAATTTTTAGGCCACAAAGAACGGAACACTCTGGTCAAGTCCAGTCTGGAGTTCAGTGGATGGTCAAAGGGGCATGGATCAAGCTCAAAAAGTTTTGCCAAAAGCCAGCCTGGTGACAGGGCCCGGAATGGGTCCCTCTGTTCACGCCCTTTGCCCATATTGTTTTGCGTGCAAATGCGGCCGGAAAGGATCGCAAAAGAAGGTTTGCAAGCCCAGAGCTCGAGGCATGGTAAGCTCCCTCCACCACGCCCTTAGCCAATGTTGTTCTGCTCGCAAATTAAGCGGCTGGGAAGAGAGCAACGGCATTTTCGCAAGAAGCTTTAGGTGGCTGGACAAAGGTGAGCACTCCACCCAGCGCTGTCCCAGCCGCCACCGGCTTAGGTCAGGCTAGGCCGGGGTCGGCAGATATGTACGCATGTAGATTTTAGATATACTATATTAATTTACAAAAATTGTATATATATATATATATACGGACAACTAAACCCTTACTTGTTGTCGGGCTTGCTTGCAACCCCCAGGTTTCCCAAACAAAACCTAACAGAGTATATCCAAGAGCTGTGATCGAACTCTTATCAAGGCCATTCAACATCAGTAGACAAAATAATGTCAAATTGTTCTAAAAGACCAAGCCTGTCCTGGACACATGATTTACCCGTGACAATCCATGCTGTAGCAATCGAAACCCTGGGCCTGAGTCCGGAAACAATGCTCGTGTTTGAAACCGTGATGGCCAACCCTGACAACCTGTGTGTTCTCACACGGACTGAGGCCTTTAGTGTTCCTCGGAAATGTCAATTTGTCTGGTGCATTTATAGTCACGTCCTTGCAAGCCCTTCTCGGGTCTGGTGGGCGAAGGTACACATATATAATATATATACTTATGTGAACTAAGTGTGTATATATATATACTGTATATGCACACACACACACACACACTTTCTTTTCAATTTCAATATGCAGTGAATGATTTGCCTGCTGGTTTTCCTTGACTTCAGAGCCCGGGGTCTGGGCAAAACCTGTTTAGACGCTGTCCGAAACAGTTTAGAATAGTTTTGAACAGACTCCCTTGCCGTGTTACTGCACACAGACAGATCTCACACCTGTACTTGTCCAAGGCAGATTTTAGACTTTCTAGCATATATCCGTCGTAATTATAGAGTCCAAAGTGGAATTTGTTGCATATTTTCCTCCGTGTAGGGTTCAAAGTGGATTTAGATGTTGTAGTCTTTTTGAGACTGGCTTGAACAAACTGGGAGCTGATTGCGTTTGTATTGGCTCTGGCGTTTTCACTTGTATCACGAGACCTTCATGGTGGCAGACATATTTTCCGTCAGGTACAATGATCGTCGACCTCCAGAGCGGCTGGGCGGGAAGGGAACCTTCGGTTCCATTGTAGTACATCCTGGGCAAGTCCAAGGACCGCTATCAGCATGCCTCGCACAAGAAAGGCCACTGATAAGCACATTTAAATACAACTCGAAAACTAGGCTCGGTGTCCACCAGAGTGTGATGCAACATGTTTTAGTTTTACCATGTTTTTTTGTTTTCCACGACTAGGGGTTCAGCATGACCTTTGGGGGTTCCATCTACCTCGCAAGCAGGGCCACCAACAACCATGAAAAGGGTGCACTTCATGGTTCTCTTCAGAAAACGTGTTTGTTTTCGGTTCCACTGCAATCGTTCGAACCAAACATGTGGAATGATGGAAGGCAAACATGAGGTATCACGTATACTGATGCATGTTGAACGGTTCGCGTCGAAGATGGTCGTGGACATTTGGGATTGAATCACTGTACCCCTCAGCAGTAGGACGGCAAGCATGTGGGTTCTGAGACCCAGGTAGGCGGATCCATGTCTTATCAGGCCTTTGCCGGCGCCGGAACTTCATCATTTGTTTTGTGTTGTGTTGTGTTGTGTTGTTTGTTTGTTGGCTTGTTTTTTTGTTTGTTTGTTTGTTTGTTGGCTTGTTGGCTTGTTTGTTTGCTTGTTTGTTTGTTTGTTTTGTTTGTGTCTTTGTTTGTTTGTTTGATTGTTTGTTTGTTTGTTTGGCTTGTTTGTTTGTTTTTTGGCTTGTTTGTTTGTTTGTTTGTTGGTTGGTTGGTTTGTTTGTTTGTTTTTTTTTTGTTTGTTGGCTTGTTGGCTTGTTTGCTTGTTTGTTGGCTTGTTTGTTTGTTTGTTGGCTTGTTTGGTTGTTTGTTGGCTTGTTTGTTTGTTTGTCTGTTTGTTTGTTTGTTTGTGTGTCTGTGTGTCTGTGTGTTTGCTTGTTTGTTTGTTTGTTTGTCTGTTTGTTTGTTTGTTTGTTTTTCTGTTTGTTTGTTTGTCTGTTTGTCTGTTTGTCTGTTTGTTTGTTTGTTTGTCTGTTTGTCTGTTTGTTTGTTTGTTTGTTTGTCTGTTTTTCTGTTTGTCTGTTTGTCTGTTTGTTTGTTTGTTTGTTGGCTTGTTTGTTTGTTTGTTTGTTTGTTTGTTTGTTCATGTACACCTTTCTTTGGTTCCTTCCTGTTAATCTTCCTTCTTTCCTTTTTTTTTGTATGCCATACACCTCAATACAATTGTTTCTTCGTTTTAAGCACTCTCCACGGTTGGTTGGTGAAGCATGCTTGAATTTGGCCCTGCAGAGGACATCACAATCAGTCTCAATTTCACCAGGAGTTTGCAATCTTCGACCGCGAGCAAGCCTACCCTTGCTACGTGGTGCAGTACAAGGTCTCCTGATGATGACTCAGACTAGTAGTATGGCCAAAGAATTCGCCATGCGACCATTTGGGATCCAATCCTTTTCCTTCAAGAGCACTTCATTTTCGATGTTCGCTAAGAAAAAGGCAGCCTGCAGAGTTGCAGAGCTGCAGAAGTACGGATGGAGGTGACACCCCTTCGCGTTTGCGCAGCACGCCTGCGCATGTGCGGGCGCAAGTCTCCCTTCTAAGAAGGAGCAGGAACTTTAGACCTTTGACAACTCTTTTTTTTGACCGGACCTTTTACCTTTCAGCAGGAACTTTTGACCTTTGACCTTTTGACCTTTAAGACCTTTGAACAGTTCGGATTGCCTATTTTCTTAGCATTGTTTTTGACCAAACTTTTGTTATAGCTTTTTGTATTTGTTGACTGCGTGGTTTGCAACCATTGCAACCTTTGCCGGTGCCGTCCCAAGTCGAGCTCGGGGCGACCAGTCCCTCGACTTCGACCAGGTCCGAATGACCGTCCTTGAGTTTTTCTGATTGAGGTCACTTGAAGGCTTGTGAACGGGTCACCGGATGAGTCTCCAAAGCCAAAGAGATCACGAACGGCGTGTTTGTCCAGCTCTGTTAGGTGATGTTAGTTGGACAAGTACACCAAAACTGGGACATGAGTGACATGGTACCCTCAAAAAATCACTTAGAATATGTCAATGTTACGATGTTACGATGTTACAATAAACCACCTTGGTCCGAACTACGAACGGTTCCGGGTCGCCGCGGCGCAGTGGGGGCCAGCGCCACCGCCTCTCTGGCCGGAGCGAAGCGACCGGTGCCAGGAACCCGGCCGAAGCCTTGCCGGGCTCAACGGAGGAGGTCGATCACCGCTGCGGCCGCGTCGGGGTTGACCGGGAGGCCGTTGGTCAATGAGGCGTCAGAGGCAGAAGTCGCACTGTCCTTCATGGGGAGATGGGATATGAATGACCATTTCAAGGGCCAGGTTTTTTCTGTTTTTTAATGATTCCCAGACTCCCAGACCTGACGAATGGAACTGGTATGGAATACTTATTACATTGTGCACATTTGTAGGATGTTCCTTCATTTTCTGACCCATTGGGCGCAACTCCTTCGCTTTGGAGATCTGACCATCGCAATGTCCAGGCCCCGCCAGACCGACCAGAGCGATGCGATGAGCCGGAGACGGACGTAGAACCCACAGGCATCGACTTCGGTCGAGGGCGAGAGTGGCATTGACAGCCTGGTATTGGCTAGATGACTCCGAGTGATCGATTTGGTTGGGGTGGTTGACTTGAGGTCAATTAAGCCGTGAAACTCTTTGATGTTTTATGGCATATTCCGACAGAAACTGTACGTCCCCAGGAGCACCGCTTCAATCTTCCAATATCTTCCAATCCAATTGAAACCCCTAAGGCCCTAGGGCCCTATAGGGATCCAGTCGTACCGAACCTCAGGTTCGGTACGATTGGACCCGACAATGGCACCGTGTCATGACTCCTGGTGGGACCGGAACCGATGAGTGATGAGTCATGTCCTAGGGATCCAGTCGTACCTTCTCAGGCACGCAAACACCCTTCTGAGAAGCTACGACTGGATCCCTAGGGATGATGAGTCTGGCCGTGTTTTTGGGTGATTTCTTCATGAAACGAACCGTGTGGTGATAGGCCAGAGTCGTTTTACAAGGGTTCCGAATGTCCGCTCAATAAACGAAGACGGGATCGGCTGGAGTCAGTGAATTTGATTTTCCCACGTGCCTCAGCTGCAGCGCCTAAAACTGGAGAGAAGAGTTTGTCCAGCATTGGAAAGCAGGATGATGGACACTTGATTCGAAGTTGGACATGTTGAATCATGTTGATCAGTTTTGGGGGACAATTGAGGGACAATGGCGGGATCTTTGAGATCCTACGTCCATCGTTCCTCTTCCCGTCGTTCCTTATTGCTCCTCACCGTCGGGTCGATCGGCCCAAAAACCACGGCCTGGAAGAGTTACATGCATCACCACAGTGGTTTCAGAGGTTCGATGGCGCAAACCCCTATATTATATAATATATATATACATGTCTTGGGATGGGGGTCCATATAAACCACCTTTTGGGGATTGTGCCGTCTACGTACTCTCAATCCACTACAACCCCATGAACATGATCCATTCATGGTGGTGGTGGCTATTCCAATCCCCTTCGTCTGGGAGAGGAAAAATGGGATATGCCTTTTTTGAGGCTAGTACAGGCCGTGCTCCACGGATGTTTATTTGCTGTTGCTTGTTCGATGACTTGTGGCCTTTCAAGCAGATTTGTATAGATTCTGAACCTGATTTGCTTAACTGGAGGTAAGGCTGAAACATGGGTATCCCAAAATGTCAACAGCTGGACAAGTCTTCGCAGGGTTACTCCCAAGCTAAAGGCACCAAGATCAGCCCGCAAAGGAGGGAGAACCCTCCAACAGAACCCATGAGTTTCGCTCAAAAACCCAGTTCGGAGCGGGGTCACTCACTGGCAGCCCTGTTTCGGAGAGCATCAACAGACAGACACTCCGAACATCGAATCTCCTTAAAACAAAAGGAATTTAGAGGGGCAGCACTACTCGAGCCGGCTACTGTTCATATCTTCAGATGTTTGCAGATGGCGGGTAGATTCCAAACCACCTTCATCTCTCAAATCCATCGTCATATATGTTTGAAGACGGTTTTGGGAAGTTTCGGACTCGTCTCCCCACAATCTTCGGACTCGGGCCACGGGTCGTTGCAGGACCTGTGGTGCCAGAGGCGTGGACGCTTTGGGAGGAAGGAGTGGCGACCCATAGACCACCCGAAGAGCGACTGCAAGGGGTCACCAGTATGGGCCACCAGTGGCTACCTGGTCCTCAATCCATGGCATCCCATGGTATCCCATGGCACCCGATAGAAGGAACATCATATGGGGAAAGTCATGCCATCGAAGGTGGACAGAGGTCACCTGACATGCTCGGCAGGTCGTCACCGGAGAGCATACACATGCACATGACATGTACCCTAGGAATCCAGTCGTACCTTCTCAGAAGGTACGACCTGGACCCTCCAAACCTACATAAATAGTCTCCAATCACCTTCTGAGAAGGGACGTCGATCCCTAGGGTGTAATTGAGGAGTTTTTACTGTTGGGTTAACTTGGTGGTGCAGGAATGTGCAGGATGTTTTCCATCAGCAGTAGCAAGGCTACCCTTCTGAACGTGGCTGATCTGTGTATCATAGTTCATCCAGAATGTCTAATCTGTCTTCATGTGCATGTTAGTTTGGGCATTCGACATGTTCTGGATCCTACTCCAGGATCGTCATGAATGGCTGTGACTCATGGCTCTTCTACGACAGTTGATGTAAGGAGATCTGGACATTTCCGGGGAAGATGGCAATTTGGAAGACAAGTCTCTGGCCTTTTCCACGTCTGGATGTTTGCTGGAATGAGCTGAAGAGCTCACCGTCACTACGTACTTCCCCCCATCCCGAATTGGAGATGGTCCATGAGACATTTCTTGGACAAGTTCATCTTTGCCGTGGTCTAAGTTGCTGAAGAAGGGGATAGTAAAATCAACCTACGTAATTGCCTGCAGTTTCTTTATTGAACCCAAACCTTGGCTGTGGTACGAGTATACCGTGCTCCCAGTGCTGAAGGAGCTTTGACGATGGTACATGTGTTCAACACTGTGCTTCTCAAAGCAAAGACTAAGTGGATCTTACGTAGATCATGGAAGCACTTCCCAGACAGTTTCCGTCACCACGAAGAACAGGACCAAACATCTCAGATGGGCATATTGGCCTCCCGATGGGCGGCGTGCATGTTTCGTCATGCGTCCTGTTCCCGAGAGAGTGCAAATCCAGTCAGTGTTCAAGGTGTTAAAAAAAAAATCCGTGGGCCTCCGCACTCGCATCACTGAGTCCCCCTTGGTAAACTTAGACAATTCAGGTGAGCTGTGTTCAAAAGACTCCGGGCCTGAAGCAATGACAAGGGCCTCGGGCCGGAGACCCCTGTCATCCCCGATCACCCAAATCCCAGGCCGCCCATTCTCCAGTCGGCTTGTTGGTCCCAGGCGCTTTCAGCACTCTGTTTGTTTTTTTAAAATGTTTTTCGAAGTAGAAGAGGTACCCAGACACTCCATGAATGAATTATTATATGCTTGTGACTTATAACACTGACCATCACTGGCCCCTGAGACCAACCCCCCAAATGTGGGTAACTATGCCAGTCTCATTAGTCGTGTTTGGGGTAGATCTAAAATCCAACAGTCTGAGATTCAAGCTTGAAAGCGGTTTGACAGGCACTGTTAGGGCAATACGCTGCTATAGATCTGTATTTGGCACGGTGCAGTACGAGAGATGGCTCTACCTGGACCTACAAGGCGTGTCCTGTCTGGAGGTCCCTTAGTGGTGTAGGGGCTTCCAGCCAGGTGACCCCTTTGAAGGTGCTAGTATATTATATTGTTTTTTCTTTTTGTGTGTGTGTCAAGAAGGATTTGCAGTAACAAAGTCCGTATCAAGTGTCTTGCTGTGATCCTCTCAACCAAGATATTGGTGTTGTTAGTTATACCGTTATACAGTTATATCACAATTACCCATCTCTAGTGACTTCAAAACCTTCCAACAGGGACTTGCAAACAGCGGAAAACCATCTTGAGATGATCTCGTGATCGATCACTTAGCTATGAAGCTACTTTGGGAGCTTTGAGCTATGTTTTTTGATGTACTTTCAATTCACTTTTTAGACATTCAAGGATTCTATCTACTTGGAAGGTCATATCACGACACGTTTGGGAAGACCAACCGAAAATCGACGAACACAGTTTGACCCTCCAGACATGGTCGGTTGCTACCCTTGTTCAAGGGGTCCAGGTTCTACATGAAAGGGTTGCAGGATTGGGTCGGTTGGATCCGCCTGTGAGTGGACACCCTCACAGTGAACACCGTGCCGCTTCATCCATCGGAGAGCAAGCCTCCGTGCCGCTTCAGCCTCCGGAAGCGCAGGGCCTCCGTTCGGATCGAACTGGAAGGATCTTAGAAGGGGTCGTTAAAAAGCAAGTAAGGTCGACTCTATAGATTCATAACATTTCATAACGCCCCGTTTGGATGGTCAGGCTTGAAAGGCTTTTGCCCTGGTTTCGAGACTCGACCCACATGGAAAGACCACGCTTGTTTTGAACTCGTCGAAACCAGTCTGGTCCATGTGGT